TGTTTTATATTATTTCCTGAAAGCTTTGTTTTGCTTTCCGTATTTTTTTCTATGACTCATCTGGCATTTATTTTTGTGGATGGTGTGAGGCAGGGGTCAAGTTTCTCTTTCGTTTCCACAGGGACAAACAGCCTCACTTATTGAGAGTTCCATCTTTTTCCCACTGCTCCGGAGCGCCACCTCTGTCAGGTGTCAGGTGTCAGGTGGCCCTTCACACCAGAGTCTGTTCTCGCCTCTCGATCCTGTTTCATTCATCTATTTTTCTATCTACTATCTATATTTTTATATTTTATTTATATACATATACATTTATATTGATTACTCATCTGTTTTTCTAGTCTTAATTACTGTAGCTTTATAATAAATCTTGTCTCAGCAAATCATGTCATCATGTTTTTTTACAAGAGGAAATTAGCTCTTCTTGGCCTCTTGTATTTCCCTCTTCCTTTTTAGTGGTTGAAAAGTGTTCTTTTGCATGAGCGTACCAGCTTTTATCTGATCAGTCTTTTGCCTCCATAAATAACACTGCAGCGACCATTTTTGTAGATACATCTTTGAGGTCATGTGTGAGTATTGAGAGGGTACACCCTGTGTCCTCTGCCTACGCTGGACTTCCCTTCTGCTCCTCTTGATCAGCTCCCACTTATTCTTTGAAACCTGCCCACGCGTCTCTCCTTCTGATAAAGCCTTTTCCCCTCCCAGGAAGAGTTAATCACGCCCCCTCTGTCTCCACAGTCCTGGAGGCTCCTCCCCATGGCCTCACTTATCACATCCTACTACGCTGGTTTCCTCCCAGTCTCCCTCACTAGACCAGCTGCTTTTAGGCCCCAGGCGATGTGTCCTACTCATCTCTGGGCTTGGCGCTGGCACCCAGCAAATACAGCCAGCCAGTCTTCAAATAACATTTCATTAAATGCCATTTCCTTATAATGTTGATATGGCTGTAGGAACTTAAGTCTTGTTTATGTCGATTCGCGTATGGTCAAACTGGTTTCATTATACATCGTTGCGCTTAAAGTCACAGACCCTGTTGCTGACATCACGTGAGGACTCGATACTGACGCATGAAATAACACGGGAATGCGGGAATGCGTGAACTCCAGCTGGCACCCGGAAAGAGCGCTCTCTTTCTCAGTCTCCCAGCTCCGCTAGGTAACTGTGTCCTTGGAACATTTATCATTTTTTGTCTTTAGGTCCCAGAGCTTACGGCTTTAAAAAAAATTCCTCTTCATCCCTATACCTGTACTTCAGATAGTGCAGCTGATAAATCGAAATGATGGGAAATGTGGCAAAAGGCCAAGAGAGAAAACCGAGAAATCGGTGGCAAAGAAGAGGGTAGCAGTTGAATCGTACTGACCTGTGACTGGTTTAGGTGGTTTGATCTTCATTATGTGAACGGGAAGACTCAGCTTAATGTCTCCTTTAAAGCAAACATTTATATCCTACAATAAGAAAAAGGCACAGCTGATAAGCCAAGGATGGAGATCAAGACAGAATCATTAAAAACACTCATCACAAAAGAAGGCAGGAAAAGAGGGAAAAGGAAGAAAAACAGGCGGGACAAATAGAGAGTAAATAGCAAAGTGGTAGCTTTAAACCCAAACATCACTAGTCATATTAAATATAAGTGGCCTAAACACCCCAATTAAAAGGTAGAATTTTGTCAACGTGTATAAAAAGGCAAGACCCAAGTATATGCTGTCAAAAAGAAACTCATTGTAAATATAAAGACACAAATATATTAAAAGTATAGAAAAAGATACATCTCATGAAACTACTCAAAAGAAAGCCGGGGTGACTACGTTAATATCTAACATCGTAGATTTCAGAGCAAAGAATATTAGCAGGGATCAAAGCGTCATCGAATAATGATGGATCGGTTAATTCATCACAGGGACATAGCATTCCAAACGTTGTTAAAATTTGGTGGTGCTGTCCAGGGCCTTGGAAGGGGCCGTACAAGTGGGGAGCTCTGAAGACCTCCCTCCAGGGAAACGCGTCTCTGAATAAATAACTTGGGTCAGTGATCCTCAAGGATAGAGGGCTTCGAGGGACATGAGGCACGAGATTAAGTTACAGAGAATCTGAAAATAGTGCCCTGGGGAGATATTTTATTAACATACTTAAGGTAAATTTCAAGTCAAAATCAAGAATCTGTCACACGCAGCTTAAATCTTCCCGGTTTTCTTTAAAATTTTCTTTAAAATTTCTTACCATTTCTAAATTATCCGAATTCATGGGATCAAGAGTATTCTGAGGGGAAAAATGAGAAATTAATTCACAGTGGGCTTGATGTATGTCCCGCCCCCCTACCCCCCGCTTTAATCTTCTGAGATGCTCTCTCTTCCCCCCAGTTACTCTCGTGAGTAACTACTCATTCAGTAGCTACAAAGGGGAAGTATTTGTGTATCTGCGGGATTTTAACACGTGATCCCTGCTCTCCAGGATCTGAAAACATCGTTGGGGAAACGAGGAATAGTGACGATAAGAGGGAACGTGAATGAACACAGGTAGGATCAGTGAGGACACCTTTACAGAAATCTGAGCTGAAGCAAATATTTCTGATTGACAAAATATGTTGGCAACGTCGACAGTTTTATTTAACTCACGCTGAATGTCACTCATTGTATAAGGGCTGCTGCGATAACTGGCATGAGTCGGCTGCTGCTTAGTGTATGGAAACGGAGTGCGTTATGGCGGGAAACCACCCCCATTCCAAGGTGCTTTTTCCAGTTGGATAATAAATGAATCCCTCCAGAAATGTAGCTCTTGGGCACTGAGTATGATAACCGTGGAGCTGGCTGATAAAAAGAAGCAGAAGCTATGGTCTTAATAATCCGGAAACTTATCTAGTTAAGAAAAGGGGCTTTCACGCACAGCACGATACTGAAAATCGAGGTAGTATGTGAAAGGTGTCAAAAAAGGGGTACAGGGAATACATCCTGTGAGAGTTTAGAGGACACGGTCTCCGGGCTGGTAACGCCATCAGTAACAGGGCTACAGCCCCTACCACGACGTCCATGGGGGAGGAAAGGCGTTTCCTCAGAGCCCGTCGGTGACTCGGTAGTGAGTGTCGGCCTCCTATGTTAATCATTTCACGAAGGCTTTAGCACCGAATACTGTATGTTTTAAAGGCATACTCATTAGTATTAGGTGTTGGTTAAAGATGATTATAAGTGCACATCGGATAGATGAGCAGATTAAGTCTTAAAATAACATTTATGAGGAACTCTATTTTAAAGACAAGGCATGAGGCCCAGGGATCACATATAATGAAATCGAAATGGTAGAGTTCCTACCTTCTGAGAATAATACGAAGAACGCATGTGCTCCTGTATATTGAGAACACCTGTTTATACCATAATCGGGGAAATTTAGTGGAATGTAGGCATGAAAGGATTATTTCAGTCCAAGAGCGGGGAAAAAAATTACCCATGAGGCAGGAGTCAGGATAAAAGGCCCTCCTCGCGGAGAAACGCCTGGGAGTGACCTCGGTGGAGAGGCACTGCCCAGAAAGCAGAGACACCGAGAGACCTACAGCTGAAGACGCTCTGCTTTCCGACACCCGACTTTACCCGAAGCACATCGATTTGGGAGACGTGGGCCAGTGTGCCTGCTGTCATCTCTTACAGCCCCCAGAAGGCCCCCTTCCTCTTGGGATTCCAAGGCGGGTTTAGGCTAGATGTGGGCCAACGGTCGGGAGAAACACAGCAGCCGAAACGGATATTTCCTACCAGTTGCGGCTGTCTGACTCTTTTCTTTGGATTCGTGGTGAGTTGCGGGTGCTCCACTTCCTTGAGCCAAGACTCCTTGGGCAACCTATACACATCCAGCCAAATGTCTCCAGCTCCTGCATTGGGAAACCAAGGGAACCATTGAGCAACTGTAAGCAGGGGGCAAGTTCCTCTGAGAAACAGCTCATCTTCTTAGAACCCCTGGCACAGAGACCAGCAGACACCCCCAGGACAGCAGCCTTGACTCACTGAAGGAGACGCAGTCCTGTCTTCGTCCCTGCCAAGTCCTCACTCCTGGGGAGCTGGGATCCTCCCCTCCAGCCCTCGCCCCCGAGGGAAACTGGGGGGCTTCTCACACGCACCGCCCAGTCCCAACAGTTTCTAACGAAACTCTGCTGGGCCCGGGCCCCATGTATCCTAGGTTCCAAATGGTGAATTTGAACGACATTTCATCGTACAGTGATTCCCATCTGGGGAGGAAGAGGGGGCATGTAGAGAATCAATAACTGAGAGAGATATGGCCGAGAAAGGTTTAGAATTGGGAGAGATGCCTCAGAATTCTTTGAACCACTGTTTGAGAAGACAACCATGGGGGTATTGTGGGACTTTATCTTGTCATAGCACCTAATACTACGTGTTTTAAAGGCATAGTAGTTAATATGCTCAGCTTCTATACCAAATACTTGCCAACCTGGAAAAGATTGCTTTCTCATGGGATGGGATTCTGGCTAAAAGTTTCCTTTAAAAAATGATTATCTGGACACCTTGATTTCAGACTTCTGGCCCCCAGTACTGCGAGAGGATAAATATCTGTCGTTTTAAGCAACCCAGTTTGTGGTACTTTGTTACGGCGGCCCAAGGAAACTGCTCCAGAGAGTGTGAATGTTCCCTTTGATGCGTAAAGCATGATGAAATATGTATCTTCCTCAAGCACTTAACATTTGAGGGGCCTGGGGCAAGAGTATAAACAGAGGCCCAGAAATCATATGTCTGAATATTTAAAAGTTAAAATCGAGCTAGTAATCATTGGAACGAAACATTCTATCACCATAGTAACAGTTGCAACAGGCAAGATCTGATGAGGAATGCTAAAATCGATGGGCAAAACCTTAAGGAGAAATGAGATATTTGCAGAGTCTCAAAGCATCTCACCCCAAATGTTGATCAATTACTGTTGTGGTTTCAACATACACCCCCAAATTCTTTGATCTTCCTACCTCCAGGAAGTGGTGCTTAAAATCCTGTTCCCAGGACTTGGTGACTTGCTTCTAACAGAGTTTGGAGAGGGAAAAACGTAGCTGAACCGTGGAGGGACCTGGCAGACACCACTTGAACTACATGGTCAAGGTTAACGTTAGCAGTAGTGAGCCATGTTGTTATCACATACCCTCCGATACAATGCACTGAAAATTGCACGTCACCTCTGTTTATCTTCCCCCACATCCTTAACCCCAGTCGAATCATGAGAAAAATTCAGACACACTAAATCAGGGGACAGTGCACAAAATACCTGACCGGCGGTCTTCAAAGGTATCAAGGTCATGAAAAAGGAGAAAACAAGACCTTGTTACAGACAGGAGTAGACTGAGACTTGGTGACTAAATGCAATATGGTATCCTGGATTGAACTTTGAAGCAAAAAATTAGATTAGTGGAAAAAGTCTGTAGTTCATAGTATTATACCAGTGTTGCTTAAGTTTAACACATGTGCCCTGGTTCCGTTGAATGTTGCAGCGTACTGGGGGACTCTACTCTCTTTGCAGTTCTTCTGTAAATTATTTCTAAATAAGAGGTGTTGGTGGGGAGAGGTGATTATCTGGAAGAGACTGCAAATCTGAACCTTCTTAACAGGCTTCGGTTAACCTTGCCTTGTAAGAGGAAGGCTGCAAAGTCCCCTCCTTGAGAGATCGCCATCTTTACACAGGTGGTTTGCTTGCTGGTATCTTCCTGAAAAGAAGAGAGATACTCAAGTGAGCTCAGCCTGATGATGGAACAGGATTTGTTTCAGGGCCTGTGTGGTTCCCCCCAGGGAACATAGATCTTTTCAAAGTTCGAGGCATGAAAAGATGCCTTTTTGTGGATATGTGTTTTTATTTCTCTTGGTTAAATACCTAGGAATGGAACTGATGAGCTATCGGTTTAACTTTGTGAGAAACTACCAGTTTTTCAAAGTGGTTGTACCATGTTACGCCCTTACCAGCAAGGTACGATATAGTTCCTGTTGCTCCGTGTCTTCATTGGGATGCGGAGCTGCCTTTTTCATCTTAAGCATTGTAATAGGTGTGTAGTGGTGCCTCACTGTGATTTTAATTTGCATTTTTCTGTTAACTAATGATATTAAGTACTTTAAAACAGCAGTCCCCAACTTTTTTGGCACCAGGGACCTGTGCTCCTTTGAGAGTCTAATGCCTGATGATCTGAGGCGGAGCTGAGGCGGTGATGCTGGCGCTGGGGAGCGGCTGCAGATACAGAGGAAGGTTCACTGGACCACCCACTGCTCACCTCCTGCTGTGCAGCCCGGTTCTGGTCCATGGCCCCCGGGGGTTGGGGACCCCTGCCTGAAAAAATTAGTTCTTTGTATATCTTTCGTAAAATAGTTCAAGTCTTTTTCCTCTTTTTGATTGGGTTATCTTTTTATTATTGACTTGGAGTTCTTTATATATTCTAGATATACTTTAAAAGATATACATATG